CACGCTTTATCCTGAAATTCGCCTAGCAAATTTTCTCATCGCATCAGTTGCTCTGCATTTAAATTCTTCAACCCTAATCTCCTATTCCGTTCTCTTTAGGCAAGCGTTTTGAGTTACCTCCTTTTCTATTCTTTTTTTTTTGAGATTCATTTTTTCTTGCTGTTTCTCTTCTTTTCCATGTTCTTTGAAGGGAGTTAGTCCTTCTTCTATAAGAGAAGGAAAAGCTTGAAGTTAACATGCTGAGGGTCTTGCTCTGCTTTCTCTAAGCGATTCATTATCGCTTTTCAAATATCGTCTTGTTTTGTGGAGTTATGAGTGACTTCCTTGTTGTCCTTATGGTCTGATAACAGCATTTAAGAGCATTGGTACTTTACGTTAGTTCCTGATATAGGTTTAAGTTTACTCATAAGGAAAGCTAAGCGGGGATACAATAGTCCGCACCTTCTAAGACAACCCGACAAAACAAAGAAGAGTTTTTGAAACTTGTCATTACAGGTGCAATACATAGCAGCAACAGCAAAAGTTTTATTTGTACAGCTGCGATGTGAGATAGCATCTTGCATTGAAACGTGAACAAAATCGTTTTTCAGGGTGATAGATTATGGATGTTTGCTATTGGATTATTTTTACACCAACTTGGTGGAATTACATGGATTGCTATTCACCAGCTGATGGACTCTCTATCCAAATTGATACTGACCCCAGTAGTGGGATCTTTGCTGGATAAAACGAACAGGAACAAAGGTGGAAGCTTATTTTTGCTCAACACTACAACTGAAGTTTTCCAAAAACTATTTCTTCTTCTAATTTTCTTCAAAAACAAAATTGCATACAAAAACTACTCAAATTAGAAATATGTATGTTTGTGTCATTATATAGGAGCATGTAAGAAAGTGAAAATCTCTTTTTTGTTCCATATGTTGTACTCAGGGATGAGGAGTGAGGAAATTGGTAGTGTGTAAAATCTTTCAAACGTTTCCATGGATTGCAGGAGGCTCAGTTGTCTAGGGATATATTTTACCTCCCAAGTCCTTTTTGC